CAGCTTCTTAAGTTCATATCAAAATATTAAAGGTTATTTTGGGTGGGCAAAGTTTCCTACAGATTGCCAGATGCTTTTAAGGTAAAAAAACAAATATCTAATGGACAATTTATTATAAGTTCTGTAAAGTGTTTGTTGAAACCATATTAACGTGCTCACATAGTTGGTATGTGATTGTAAGATGAGTCCAGTTTTACAAAGCAATTGCAACTGTATAACCAACAAACTCCCATGATTGAATAGTGATATGTTGCAGTAGTACAAGTGAGGTCACTTCTTAAAGTGAGGATATGAAATGTCATTAAACATTGTCACAAGTCATTTAGTACACAGACTGCTTCATGTTAGTGCAGTTAGCTTCCATGTACATTGTAGGGTGGTGGCCTCGTTGTTAAGGCTATCACTCACCACAAGACACAGGGTCGATTCCCACAATACATGGAAACCATATCCGCTGTCCCCTGCTGTCATATTGCAGGATTATTGCCAAAACATTGTAATTCCCAGCTCATTCAAACTATATATTCATACACGAAAATTTGTTAATTACCTCAATAGTGGCATCTTCAGTCATATTTGTTGTACCAAATATGGTGATCTCTTTTCTCATGTTGCCATAATTGACTTGTTGTACTGTACATTCTCAGGTTAATGTTCTATGATGCCAAAATGGCTAGTTCTTGTTAATTGTAGTAAATTGCCAACCAGGCAAGCTTGAGCTCTGGATTATGTTAGTTGATATCTGTCACATATTTGATCAGTCACTTTAGGAGAAATATGAGCCATAAACAATTGATTAACACATAACATTTAATATGGCCCAATGTAAAGAAAGTGGATATGTTTACACTCACAAGAAACAAACCTGCTTGTCTTGAAACTGCTAATGAAATACAGCTCATCATGGTTTCAATCCACAAGAACATCACGGCCTGACACACAACTTAGCCATTTTGGACATGTATGAGTCAACAGGTGGCTCCTAACCATGGAAGCTTCTTAAACAAGTGTAGTCAGTGTCAGCAGGTACCAGTTCTTTCATCTGCTGGAACTGTCAGCATGCATTCTTGGGGACACTTTGTTCTTGTTCTTGTTCTTGTTCTTGTACACAATGCAGGTTGTGGCAATGCCTGCCAACAGCAGCACACCACATGCCACGCCAGCAATTATGGGTATGAGAGAGGTGTCATCAGTCGCCATCTGAGCTGCACTGGTGTCAGTGGTCATAACCTTCACCTTGGGAAGAGGTTTTGATGTGGTTGTTGTCGTTGTTGTTGGTATTCTTGTTGTAATTGTTGTTGAAGGCGTTGTGGTGGTTGTAGTAGTTTTAGTTGTGGTAGGAGTTGTGGTAGTTGTAGTTGTTGTTGTTGTAGTTGTAGTTGTTGTTGTTGGAGTTGTGGTGGTTGTTGGAGTTGTTGTAGTAGTTGTTGTAGTGGTTGTAGTTGTAGTAGGAGTGGTAGTTGTTGTGGTGGTAGTGGTAGTAGTAGTAGTAGTAGTAGTAGTAGTAGTAGTTGTAGTTGTTGTTTTGCATTCAATCTCCAGATCTGGTGTGGATTCTGACAATTTTCTACCCATGTACATAATAGGACTCATGCATGTAGGTCCATCCTGTACATGACGTGTGCTGAGGTAACGAGAGAGCCATAGCTGGCTACACACACACTGCCAGTTGTCATGGTGATCCAGCTTCAATGTGTTCACTGATGTCAACATGACTGACATTGACTCCGGCAAGGAGCTAAGCTGGTTTTCTCCCAAGTCCAACTCTGAAATGTGACTTCCAGCAAAGGCACCATTTTCCACTTTACTGATTGAGTTGTTTCTCAGGTTCAGAGTCTTCATTGTCAAGCCACTGAAATCACCTGCTCCCACGGATGTGATCCTATTATTTTGAAGGTTTAGTGTTACAGGAGCTGATTGACAAGTCTTGAGGTTTGGAACAGATGTAAGCATGTTCTGCGATATGTCCAGTGTGTCCATGGCAGTTCCTGTGAAGGCATCTGATGCCACAGAGGATATCTTGTTCGAGGTCATGTCCAACGTCTTCAGGTTCCGGAGGTTAGAAAAAAGTGATGTAGGGATTGCAGTGAGCTGGTTGTTCGCAAGTTTGATGGTTTGGACTGATCGTAGGGGTTGGAAGGACTTGCTGGCAACTGTAGTGCTTGGGTTATATGTCAGGTCTATTGTCTCAAGACTGGACAGTCCAGCAAATGCTGCCTCAGATATGCCTGTAATCTTGTTTGCCATTATGTTGAGAGTCTTCAGAGATGACAGCGGAGAGAAGCCATTGTCAGGAAGAGTTACAATATTGCTTCTCATCATGTTCAGTTCTTCCAACCTTGTTAGACCTTGGAAAGTTGTTGTCCCAAAAGTACTGAAGTCATTAAGCATGAGGTTGAGATGTTTCAGTTGAGTGTTGCTCTCAAAGACGGACCCCCAGAACCTGTGGATGTTGTACCGGTTGATGGTGAGAGACTCCAGTTGGGTCATTCTGCTGATGTATCTGGACATCATCATAGATTCCATAGGTGGACACTTCCCGTTCATCAACACCAGAGTTTTTACACTTGGTGGGAGGGCATTTGGACAGATCTGCTGGCACACAAAATTTTCTTGTTGTCCACTTGGCCCCACATCACATTTCATACAGGGAGGTAGGCTGCACGAACTGCTACCAGCTATAGCACACAGAAGGAGCATTGCTGTTACAGTGACGTACTCCATTCTTTCAGACTTCTTCAACAGCAAATTGAAGGATTTGAAGGAAATCAGTATTTGGCTGCAAGAAGCCACTATCGGCTAAATAACAGTCTCCTTGATTATTTGATATTGTTATGTACCTCTCAGCAGAACACAGGTGATTTCCTCAAATGTCATCTGTCTTTTGTGGTGGAAACTATTTACTTGCCGTGTTCACATTTCTGTTGCTGTAGTAGTTTTGAAGAACTACATAAAAGTCCCTTTTCACAGCAACGATGGTGTCCTTCTCTCAAACGTTGGTTTACGTTATCATTAACCTTTGAAGATAAAGAATCTCTGCACAAGACTATGTAATGCAATGACGCAGTCTCGCTTTCACAGATATATTTTGGGTGCCTTGTGTTGTCATAATTTCATATACCTTTAATGAATTGTTATTTCATGAGTTAAGATTGGATTAACTGATCGCTTTGTTGCTATCCAGCTATTAAGAATTTTTCGCAACGGACGTGTTTGGCTGCTCTTTATAGAAACTAAGCTTATGTGTACTTACCATGACAGAATCAGACATGAATATTTCTGAAGTGATAAATGAGTGCGCCAGTCATGGTGGTATAAACTTTACTTGATGTAGGTAATACGAAAGATTACAGAAATAATATGAATTCCAAACTCCCTGTGAACCTGTTGGACCTTGCCAAACTGGTTAAAATGTGCCGTTCCTTATATCAGTGTTGTTTATCTTTTGTTGGTAATACTCACTCATTGCCATAATGAGCTTCTTTCAGAATACTGGTTTGGCTGTGTATACAGCACTGTCATTGTATTCATGGCATTAAGATTCAAAGGGTATTTTTAAGGTGATATTTTAAATTTCATGTGTTTTAAGAACCTTTGTAGTAGCAGCAACACATCAGGGCTGAGTTGGGGCGGTGGGGTAGCCTAGTGGGTAAAGCGTTCGTTTGTCATGCAGAAGACCCGAGTTCGATTCCCCTCATGAATACAATGTGTGAAGCCCATTTCTGGTGTCCCCCGCCATGATATTGCTGGAATATTGCTAAAAGCGGAGTAAAACCAAATTCACTTACTCACTCAGGGCTGAGTCATAAATGGAATAAACACCCAAGGAACTGTACTTTCAAGGATTATCATTTTCATGCAACTTTTATATTTGTTGTACATTTCCAAATTTGTATTAGTGACAATGGTTCTTGTTTACTTTTACCCTATGTTCCACGCTTAAGGGTGATATTTTTCCCTAGAAACATCTGTTTGATAGTTGTTCATTGACATGTGCTCATGATACATTGTGGAATCATACAGTGGATGGAGTTTTTGTTTGTTTTGGGTGTTATTTATTTTTCAAATTTTCTAAATGATGATTGAAAGGGTTTGGACTTCTTTTTTTTTAAACAAATGTTACCAAAGTACACCCAGCCTTACGTGGCTGTTTGTTTATCATGTATCATACACAGAATAGCAACACGCATATGATGACAGCTTATGTTGTGAAAGATATTTTAGAGATCTGTATATTTTTTTTAATTGTTTTGTCATCCCTGTTTGTATTTTGCAGTGTCATGACATATCAACAGTATGCCATGTTCTTGATTGATTACAGGTTTGAGTTTTGTAAACAATGTCTTCTGTCCGTCACATGTTAACTGTTTCCTGTTGAAGGAAGCACATCTGAGAAGATTAATCAGATATGTAATGGGGCCGTAGATGACGTCATGTGAGACATGTGAGCTAGAACAATTATGACCTCGAAGTCAGAGTTTGACTATTGCACAGAGTAACATTATAACTGTTCCACCTTTTTCTTATGATTTGAGTCAATGAATTAATCTAATTACGGTACCAAAAGAAAGTCTCCCATTTGTTTGTTTTATCAAAACTGATGTCCTCACAAAGCAAAGTTGTGTAAGATGGTGAGCCAGGTGAGCCAGGTGAGCCAGACATGATTAACTAAACCTCCTTGAATAACAGACTCATGATTTCCTGTACTGAAACACACATTGTTTCTATAATTACCTTCCTACAAGAAACTTGATCAGCCTTGCATGACTAAGACAAAGACAGAAGAGAAAACAATTAGTCCTCTTATATTATTTATGGTTGTGTGTCATTATACCCTACATTATACCATCGCATGGCTGGCATGTTGCTCAGTGCACAATTAACTGACTGCCACACCTGAAGAGGCCAGTTGGATGTTGCCATCAGGAGTTGCTCTGCTAATTTTATGAGTACTTCAGGAAGTGTCATCACTGGCTATAAATCAAAACAGTCAAGTTTCACTGGATCATCAGTCTTTATGTACAAAGTTCAATACAGATTCTCTCCATTACTTGGAACTATTGATTCAACTGTACATCTCAGAAAATGGAGGAAGCACATTGAGCAGCTAAATCCAGATTCTGGTTTATAGCTTGGGGGAAAAACTTACAAGCACAAGGACTGTTTGATTAGACACATTCAGTCGGGGAACTGCCATCACAATTCTGTGTCGGTAAATTCTTCCAGGGCTGTTTTGGTTTCTGAAAATTCAAATGCTTGGTTCTGAAATTCTACAATAGGTCTTCCAAGAACACTGATTGGGCTGTTCGGTTTGGTTCCATGGCCCCTAAGAGATTCTTCCCGACCACCATAGAGGGCAGTTCCACACTAGCCATGCTGCACATGCACTGGATGTCTGTATCAGTGTCATTTTCAAAGTCTGTCAGATCCACGTAGCCCCGCACCTGTTGGTGGCAGTGTCGGCCTTGAGAACACTTCATAGTGATGTGCATCTCCCTAGTTATTCCTGCTGGAATGGGAAAGGGGGCATCTTGATGTTGACGAGGACCTATGTTGGATGGTTTCTCCCACATTTGATATTTTGTGCTGCGATATCTATGAACATCACTAAATCCACTCGATTTTCTATCACTTGATAAATGATGAAGATGAATCTGAGCCTCAGTTTCAATCTGTGATGAGTCTGTGGATTGGTTCAACTCTAAGTTTGAAATTGTCTCGTGTGATTTTTCAAGATTTTCATTCCTGCGAAACTGGTGTGAAATAAATGAAGTATCTAACTGGGGGGAGACTTCAAGGCCACTAGCTGTTTCCAAACTCCTGTCTCGGCTCAGGGACCTATCTGCTGGAGAATAATCACCTGATATATTGTCCTCTCCATTTAAGGAAATGGTGTGTGTGATGTTTTCCCTGGAATATGATTTGTTGAGATGGCTGCTGTGTGATACGGAGTTGTATTCTCCAGCTGGCTTCACCTGGTACAGCTGCACACTCTCACGTTTCTTGGATTTATTGGTGGAATCATGATCGTTTGTCAGTTTCTTGTAAATGGAAAACATAACAAGGTTTGACACTACCAAGATGACAAGAATTGAACCAATCACAGCCGTTGTTACAATCTGTGCCTGTGTTATATTGACAGGTGTTGTCATCGTGGCATTTACAACATGGTCTTCCATTCTGAAGCTGTTGCAGTGGAGTAAATTCGTTTGGAAAATAGTTACAATTTTGTCAATCAGTCCAGTTTAACCATTGCTAATTTGAAGCAAACTGTAATATCACTTGATACTAAACTGATGGACATATTTCAGATGTATACCACATGGCTTCTGTTCATTTGAACAAAGCAATAGTTGAATCATGAATTCCAAGCTCACATAGTGCACAAATAACTTCTGGCATGGTTTGGTGGCAGTCCATACAGAGTTATGTCCCTTTAGCTTCCTGATTGTTGCTACACAGCTTGATCTCACAGACTTTGGGATTTTATTGTTTTTCTGGTCAATGAATGTTTCTGATTCAGATCAGATGATTGAGTGCATTGATCTCTGGGGTAATGGTACCTGAAATAAAAAATCATCATTGAGATATAACATTTTTTGTGCATGATTGTTGGTTTAAGAGGTTTTTCAGCTGCTGAAAACTTATTGTCACTCAAAGGGGCTTCTTTTTATCTTTTTAAATAAGATTTCATAGCACTTTAGAACAAGTAGACAATTAATGCAATTTTGATGATGTATGCCGCAACTTGAATTGCTGATTTCAAGAAGCAAATTTAAAGAAACAGCTTTCTTGTAATTTTGGTGTGTTTTTTTAGTCATGTGAATGTCAAATATGAATGTAATATATCAAGTAAATGTTGCCTTTATGAGGTAGGTTGCAGTCTTTGCTGGAGAATATAAAAATGATAGTGTTGATTTATCCACATTTTACTTTTCATGCTTGTTATATCATCCTCGTGTTCCCTTTGTCTTAGTCGTTTTTGTTGTTTATGTGCAGTTTGAATGATGAGATGAAGAAACTTCATGTGACACACATCAATCATCGTCCATGCAATGTACATGTACTTTCCATTTACGTAACAAAAATAACCGTGCTTATATTTCCATTTATTGACTTTCTTTCCCCCACTGTGATAAACACTCCCTGTTACTGGCCGGTATGTTATGTTCAAGGAAGGGAGTCTATTATAACCACAAGCCATGATAGTCTATTTAGGCTGGTTTATTTGGTGATTATATACCATGGGTGGGTTATGTCTCTAGAGCTGTCCCTATTCAAAGAGCCTAGTGATGAGTCACCCAAAGGGTCTCTATGTGTAGTATTAGGAATGGAGATATTATTTACCTGGCTGTATATCACATATCAATGGCTGCGTGTCATTTAGCAGGTGCTCCGAGGGAGGAGAAAGGAAGAGCCTACAAGAACTGTGAGAGAAGAATGTAGCTTGGTTTACTTAGTGTTGGAATGATCATAGAGCATGCCATTTTGCCTGTATCTAGATGTGAGCTTGACAGGCCTTGTACCTACCCTGGGGTCAAAGGGTAAAGTTTGGATGTAATTGAGCTCTCTTTTTTCAATTGTCTCCACTGTTATGATCTCTTTAAATGGGTTTGAGTAGGACCATCCCAACAATGTGCAGATGATTGAGCCTGTCATGGAATTCATGTTACTTTGCATTGTTCGTTGTTTTGTGTGAGAAATAAAATGTTTATGAGGTAGGAGACTTGTGTGTGTAAATAAAGATCTGTATCTCTATGTGTTGCTGTATACACTGAGAGAATGCAAAGGTTTGATATGCAAATATCCTTGCATTGCTTTTCCTGCCAAACACCAGCACAGTCACCTCACTACATGTTCTCCTACAATTCTTAGTGGTTAACATTGTAACAGTGACTTTGCTTAAGACAAATGGTTTTTTATATTAAAATAATTTATCAACTCTATAGGACATTCAACTGTATCAAGACCAACTAGTTTTGTAAATCTATTTACACATTTTGTATGAAAATTTCAGTGTCCAAGAAAATGAATGATTTCTAAAATCCAGGTTACATTTAATCTCAAGTTCCTGTGATAAACCTCTGTCGGTTACAGTTCATTGTTATTTTCACCCCGGTTGCATAATGATGGTTATTTTCCCCACATCCACACTGCATGTGCATCTACATGTACTCTGCTTCTGCCTGTGTTCCCGCCTGCCGTGTCCCATGCATCAGGCATACCTCGGGGGGTGTTATGTTGGGTGTCACAGTGCAGGGTGGCACCATCCAGGGTGTCTCAATTCAACGTATATTAGTTTGGGTTTTCACTGTATTGGTACAAAAGTATCAGAGTGTCAGTGTTCTGGGTATCAAGATGTCATTGTGTAAGGTGTAGTCAGGATAACTCAAGATGTCAGGTTTATAAGATGTTAGGGTGTGAGGGTGTTATTGTTCTGGGTGTCAAGATGTTACTGTATAAGGTGTAGTCAGGATAACTCAAAGTGTCAGGGTTATAAGGTGCTGGGGTGTGAGGGTGTTATTGTTCTGGGTATCAAGATGTCAAGATGTCGCTGTGTAAGGTGTAGTCAGGATAGCTCAAGGTGTCAGAGTTATAAGGTGCTGGGGTGTCATGGTGTTAATGTTCTGGGTATCAAGATGTCAAGATGTCATTGTGTAAGGTGTAGTCAGGATAACTCAAGGTGTCAGGGTTATAAGATGCTAGGGTGTCAGGGTGTTATTGTTCTGGGTATCAAGATGTCAAGATGTCACTGTGTAAGGTGTAGTCAGGATATCTCAAGGTGTCAGGGTTATAAGATGCTATGGGGTGTAGTGGTGTCAGGGTTATAAGTCAGGGTGTTATTGTTCTCAAGTATCAAGATGTCACTGTGTAAGGTGTAGTCAGGATAACTCAAGGTGTCAGGGTTATAAGATGCTGGGGTGTCAGGATAACTCAAGGGTGTTATTGTTCTGGGTATCAAGATGTCACTATGTAAGGTGTAGTTAGGATAGCTCAAGGTGTCAGGGTTATAAGGTGCTAGGGTCACCATGTGTCAGGGGTGTTATTGTTCTGGGTATCAAGATGTCAAGATGTCACTGTGTAAGGTGTAGGTCAGGATAGGATATCTCAAGGTGTCAGGGTGATGCTAGGGTGTCTGGGTATCAAGATGTTACTGTATAAGGTGTTAATGTTCTGGGTATCAAGATGTCACTGTGTAAGGTGTAGTCAGGATATCTCAAGGTGTCAGGGTTATAAGATGCTAGGGTGTGAGGGTGTTATTGTTCTGGGTATCAAGATGTCACTATGTAAGGTGTAGTCAGGATAACTCAAGGTGTCAGGGTTATAAGATGCTAGGGTGTCAGGGTGTTATTGTTCTGGGTATCAAGATGTCACCGTATCAAAGATGTCAGGGTGTATGTAAGGTGTAGTCAGTAACTCAAGGTGTCAGGGTTATAAGATGCTAGGGTGTGAGGGTGTTATTGTTCTGGGTATCAAGATGTCACTGTGTAAGGTGTAGTCAGGATATCTCAAGGTGTCAGGGTTATAAGATGCTGGGGTGTCATGGTGTTAATGTTCTGGGTATCAAGATGTCACTATGTAAGGTGTAGTCAGGATATCTCAAGGTGTCAGGGTTATAAGATGCTGGGGTGTGAGGGTGTTATTGTTCTGGGTATCAAGGTGTCACTATGTAAGGTGTAGTCAGGATAACTCAAGGTGTCAGGGTTATAAGGTGCTGGGGTGTGAGGGTGTTATTGTTCTGGGTATCAAGATGTCACTATGTAAGGTGTAGTCAGGATAACTCAAGGTGTCAGGGTTATAAGATGCTAGGGTGTGAGGGTGTTATTGTTCTGGGTATCAAGATGTTACTGTGTAAGGTGTAGTCAGGATAACTCAAGGTGTCAGGTTTATAAGATGTTAGGGTGTGAGGGTGTTATTGTTCTGGGTATCAAGCTGTTACAGTGTAAGGTGTAGTCAGGATTATCTCAAGGTGTCAGGGTTATAAGATGTCAGGGTAGGTCTGTGAGGTGTTATTGTTCTGGGTATCAAGATGTCACTGGGTATAAGGTGTAGATCAGTCAGGATGTTGGGTGTGAGAGTGTGTTATTGTTAAGATGTTAGGGTGTGAGGTGTTATTGTTCTGGGGTAGATGGGTAATCAAGATGTTTCTGGGTATCACCGTGTAAGGTGTAGTCAGGATAACTCAAAGGTGTCAGGGTTATAAGATGCTAGGGTGTGAGGGTGTTATTGTTCTGGGTATCAAGATGTCACTGATGTAGCCAGTAAGGTGTAGTCAGGATAGCTCAAAGGTGTCAGGGTTATAAGGTGTCAGGATAATCTCAAGGTGGGTGTCATGTTAGTGTTATTGTTCTGGGTATCAAGATGTTACTGTCATTAAGGTGTAGTCAGGATAACTCAAGGTGTCAGGGTTATAAGATGCTAAGGTGTGAGGGTGTTATTGTTCTGGGTATCAAGATGTCAAGATGTCATTGTGTAAGGTGTAGTCAGGATAACTCAAGGTGTCAGGGTTATAAGGTGCTGGGGTGTCAGGGTGTTATTGTTCTGGGTATCAAGATGTCAAGATGTCACTGTGTAAGGTGTAGTCAGGATTATCTCAAGGTGTCAGGGTTATAAGATGCTGGGGTGTCATGGTGTTATTGTTCTGGGTATCAAGATGTCACTATGTAAGGTGTAGTTAGGATAGCTCAAGGTGTCAGGGTTATAAGGTGCTGGGGTGTGAGGGTGTTATTGTTCTGGGTATCAAGATGTCAAGATGTCACTGTATAAGGTGTAGTTAGGATTATCTCAAGGTGTCAGGGTTATAAGATGCTAGGGTGTCAGGGTGTTATTGTTCTGGGTATCAAGATGTCAAGATGTTACTGTATAAGGTGTAGTCAGGATAGCTCCAGGTGTCAGGGTTATAAGATGCTAGGGTGTCAGAGTGTTATTGTTCTGGGTGTCAAGATGTTACTGTATAAGGTGTAGTCAGGATTATCTCAAGGTGTCAGGGTTATAAGGTGCTGGGGTGTGAGGGTGTTATTGTTCTGGGTATCAAGATGTCAAGATGTCACTGTGTAAGGTGTAGTCAGGATTATCTCAAGGTGTCAGGGTTATAAGATGCTTGGGGTGTCATGGTGTTATTGTTCTGGGTATCAAGATGTTGAGGTGTCACTGGAAAAGATTCAGCTGGTACAGTAAACACACCTTAGAAAGCCATATAAGTACTGATACTGGCCATAAGGGGATCTGTTGACCAGGAGGCCAAGGAAAATTCATCATGTGATTATATCTTGCTCATCACTGATTTATCTGGTCCAGACTTGATCACTGAGCAGCCACTCTCAGTTGGCTGTGTGTTATAACCCACATGATGTACATTGGGTTGACAGTTGGTAAATTGTGTGACATGTTACTCCTCCTCCAGTGTGATGCATACTCACGTAGGTTCCCCACAAAACATACCCTGAAGGCCACTGGGACAGGTATGTGTGTAGAGGCACAGAGTCTGGCAGGTATATGTCATGCATTGGAAATATGTGTGTTGTGCTAGTCATGTGTGGAGCTTGTCTTTGATGTGCCATGCCCCTTCACTGTCCGGGTCAACCAAGGACAGGCCCTGCATGAGGAGCTCCTTACTGCCTGGTGTGCTCCTGCTGCACAGGGATAACTCCCTTCTGTTGAGGGTTAAATACCTCTACCACTGTTTTAAGATGAAGCTGTACAGTCTGGACCGAAATGTTTTTAATACTTACCAGAACTTTTATGATGTTTTATGTTTTTTGTAAGTTATCATTCGAGTTTAATAGACTGAACATGTTGTTCTACATTCAGACTGCTTACTAAAACCATTGTGGTGAGTACTGGATTTATAGTATAAAGAATGCTATATATAATATAGAATATAAAAAGAATATACAAAGCTGGTTTAATCTAAAATACACATCTGTATATGTTAAGTCCTGTCTTCCCCGGCAGTGGGTCGTGACGTGACAGTTAGGCTGATTATGTGCACACACAGGTGTATGGGTACACACAGGAAACTGTAGACATTTCTACTTGGGGAAAATCAAGAAATGTGAAACAAGTATAACTTAGGACAAATTGTAAAATCTAGACAAACTTTGACTCTAACAATGGTTTCCTTTTTACTCCAGACATTCCTGTGTCGACAGGAATACCTGTTGAAGTGATTAAGTATGTCTCATAAACCTCAACCTTATATAAATCTGTCATCATTCATCTTCGTGATATACTGGAACTGTTTTGTCTTCGAGGGATGGGCTTTCTTTCAGTGTAATATTTTTAACAATCTGTTGCATTGCTCGGCAGTGTAACGCAGTCCATGGCAGATCTAACAGTGTCAGTGTTCAGTCGCCAGGTGTATTGGATTGGGAAACAAGCAGCTATTGTAGTTTTATTGAGAATAGTCCTACATTGTGTTACATCAAACATTTTGTTGGGTTTGGGCAGTTTTGTTTGATACTTTTTTCATGATGTTGATTTGATTATTTGTCAATTTGTTTATGTTCATTTTATTTTAAATCAGTGATCATAATGAACGAAAAATCTGTATTTTAAAAATCTGCATTTTATCATTTATAGTATTACGGTCCATCATCATAACAATAACTTTAAAATTTTAATCAAATGAAATTTAAGTGAAATTGCCAATCTAATGCACATTTGGGTGAAAGGGATGTAGGACATACATACTATTACCAGATGAATGTAATGACTAATTAAATAAAAGTTACCTGTTGATTGTAACGTCCACTGAGCAGTTTGTGTTGACCACGTCCAGCCTTGTTGCCTTATAACTGGTTGTAGCTGTAAAAGTGAATATCACGTGCTAGTACAATAGTCGACAGCACCAACTGTCTTACACGGGCACAAAGTAACAACAAGGCTTTACCTCTAAGCCGAGCACACGTTGTGAATGGCGGACTATGTGTCAAATACACGAAGGCCTCGCTAATGGCAGGAGGGCAGCAGAGTGCACAACTCTTACGCGGATCCAGCCATCAGTCCACAGCCTATGTTTGCCCCATCATTGTTCCCTGTGTTGACATGGTCAAGATTCAGGCATTCAGGACAGGATTTGCTGCTTTCTGTTGAACTAGGATCAGATTAAAACAATATCAGTGTTTTCACAGTGATATAATCACTTAAAGTGTTACCATTTTGTTGAACTTTTTTACTTTCTGTCATTGTTCCTTAACAATGTGGTGTAACTTTTAAATAATGCTGGTTTCAATTTTTTTTTACATATTTCGCTGTTTATGTTCAGTTGATATTGTTATTCTCAAGACATGGAGGACATCAGGTACTATTGTAGTATAAGATATCTGTTCTGAAAATATTTCTCCATTTATATAATGTAAGAGGTGTAATGACAGTTTGGGAAAATCAGTGCTTCATGCGTTGTCAGTTAGCTGTGTAGAGGAATAAGACTGGCTGTGATATTTCCCTTGCCAACGAGTAAGTGAATGAGTTTAGTTTTACCCCGCTTTTAGCAATATTCCAGCATTATCACGGCAGGGACACCAGAAATGGGCTTCACACATTTTACCATGTGGGGAATCGAACCCGGGTCTTCGTCATGACGAGCAAACACTTTAACCACTAGGCTACCCCACCGTCCCTCCCTTATCAAAGGTGCATACATTCTTCCTAATGGTGACGAACAGTCGTCTTATGTCATCTTTTGTGTGTCATATTTTCTAGTATTAGATAAAGTTCCTCCGTCGTGTATTGGGTGAGGTACAGTTGTAGCTCTATGCTGTGCCCATGGCCTACTGTTACATGTCAGATAAACACTAATTGATTATCTGGTGCGATCAACTTATTTCATTTGTGTACTTGAAGTACGAGTTACTGAACAGAATAGCGTACTGCATGTAAAGGGGAGTTAGAATAGGAACACAATTTCGAAATGTTTGAGGTAGCTTATGTCATTGTGAGTAGAAGTCTGCGGTCATATGGTGGTGTTTGTGTAGCAGGGAGCGACACAGGGCTCACAACAATTAGCCTCCTGTTGGGTGGACTTTTGTCTTAGATCTCCACTACTTTCACACTGGAGACAGGCAACTACCATCCTCAATATAGTACAGACAATTACCATCTCCAGTCCAGTACAGAATATTACCACCCTCAATCCAATACAGAATATTACCACCCTCAATCCAATACAGAATAGGACCATCCTCAGTCCAATACAGAATATTACCACCCTCAATCCAGAACAGAATATTATCATCCTCTTTCCTGTACAGAATATTACCACCCCCTTTCTTGTACAGAATAGTACCACCCTCAATCCAGTACAGAATATTACCATCCTCTTTCCTGTACAGAATATTACCACCCTCTTTCCTGTACAGAATATTACCATCCTCTTTCCTGTACAGAATATACCACCTCCGTGGTGTAGTGGTTAGGGCGTCCGCCCGGAGAGCAGAAGGTCGCGGGGTTCGATCCCCGACCGCGTCATACCAAAAGACCTTAAAATATGGTACTTGTTGGCGCTCGGCATTAATGGGTACAACAAGGACTGGTCGGCTCAGAGTCAGTATAATGTGTCTGAGTGGGGTATTCATGCTTCACTGCGGCATTGTATCTCAGTGGGCTAGCACTATAAAACCGGCTTCAGTCTGGGCTAGTACAAGCAGCCGTACATACACATACACACGCATGCACGTCGTCATATGAGCGGAAAAAAAATTCTCGGCGTTAAACCCAATTTGACCTCACCTGTACAGAATATTACCACCCTCAATCCTGTACAGAATATTACCACATTACCTCAATTCAAGAGCGAGTATTAAGAAAATATTAAGAAATGTTTTGTTTATTATCGATCCATTGATATTCTGAGGAGTAATTAAGTAATAACCTGTTCCCCAAAATATTCCTGTAAAATATTTTTTTACACAATCATGCACATGCACACGCACACGCACACACACACACACACACACACAGGCACAAATGCATGCACACAAACAAAACTCACTCACTCACTCACACACCCACACACCCTCGGAATTCATGAATTTTCACTGGATGTCCTAGGAACAGCCAGTGTTATGGGTAAAAAGTAAAGTTTGGCCTTTGAACCTGATGAAGCCCATCTGGCTTGTGGACATGCTAGTGCATATCAATGCACTTCCCATAAGCTTGTGTAAATAAAAATAGGGTTTCACTTAATTTCCCTGTGTTAAGCTGTGTAGGTAACCTGCTAATGTTGATTCAGGGCAGTGAGGTAACAGATAAATCTGTAGGTTGGCATAGTGTACCTATGTATTTGTGAAATCTTGTCTATTTTAACTTCTGTTACAACACACTCTTAAACATTCTGGTGATGATATACTGTTTCCTATGTGTTGAAACTTTAAAAATCTAAAAATTACATGAATTGAAGACGATCCTGTTGATTGTTTTTCTCCAGCACAGAATTCATTGCATTTTTCTAAGATAAGCTGTTTTCAGAAAATTCATCACGCTGCCTTGAGAAGTCCTTATTGGGTGCTAGGAAACTATGTACATTGCTTTAAATGTTTATATTTTGGAGATCAGTAAAGATTTCAAGTACATGTTGCTAGGCAGTGGAGATGTGTGCCTGTCTGTAGTAATGCAGCCTGAAATGTGTGTTGAATATATGGATTGTCTCTTCATGACGTCGATATTATTTTCTAAGTTTGCAAATTTGTTCCACTTGGAACAGCACTCAATGTATTCTTTGTAAACAATAGGATGCAGCTTTTACCACTTTTGATGTTAAGCATACATGCTTTGGCAAACAAATCAAATTGTGTTTCAAATGTTTTTATGCAACCTAGAGGATAGTGGACCTTTGTATAAGAGGATAGGATTTTGAATATGGATAAAATGAGGTGTGGTAGCATATGTCATGTATGATTTCCTCAGATTGTACAAATGCCGTACATTTTAATCCTACATGTTAGGGGGCAATGGGGGTGGTGTATGCTGATGTCAGCAGTATTCCAGCTGTATTGTGGGAAGGGATTGCCACTCATTACAATACATCCATGTGCAGTACACTACATGGTACAAGTTGAAGACCACACTATCCTTTCATATCACCATGGTCATAGCAGATTAACTACAGTCATAGGAAACAATTTGATGCTTCTTTATTTCTTGTAGCATATTGAATAGTACTAAATGGTGACTACCAGGTTAAGTAAGATATATACAAAAGAGGAATTTTTTTCTGAAGATGTTGGAGTTTGATGCGGGAATAGGATCATCCACTATTCCGGTGTAGATTATGTACTGAACAAAATTAGTTAGGTATCCTAAATATTTTGGTGTATTTTTGCGAAGATTCACCAAACAATTTCATTAGAATTACCTTAACTTCTTGGATTCTCCCTAAATTTGATTTGTTTTGTCTTGGTCAAAAAATATTTTGTTCTAAGTGTGGGCAGCCTGGTGTCTTCAACAGTGTTGCTCCTTGTTGAATGACCTTTGCCTGGAGTTAGCCAGCTGTACAAATGATCTGTATATCTTCTGGCTTTTGAACCCTGGGGGGGTTTATCATGATACACTACGTACCATGTAAACTAGAGAACTGCTTGGCTCTGATTTTTCTAAAGTTTAAGAGTGAAGTATTCTCTGCCAATTATCACCTAACCCTCAGTTTGTCCCTGAATTGTCCTCCTGTGCAGAAACTGTATTCACAAGTCGTCCGTGAGTTGTCATGGAAGCTGACATGTAGGCTACAGGGTACCTGTTCCCACACACGACCCCATGTTTGTTCTACCTGTAACGAGTTACCTGTCTCGTTACCTGGCTTGCACACAAGTGTGTTGGCTACAGGTATTGACTCCACCTGAGAATTGTGCTGGGGTCACAACGACATTCACATTTGAAAGTCCTGCATCCTGCCAGCCAAGCAGGATATGTCGATTGAAAGGAATTAATTTGGTGACAGAGAAACATTTTCTTCTTAAATAATGACCCTAAAACAAACACATGCCTAACAACTCTGGTGTTCAAAAGTTACAGATAGGATTTGTTTCTTTATTTAGCTTAATGGGATTTTCAAGTTTAACACCAATCTTACTACCACTTGTTGAGAGACTTGATAAGGCCTGTGTGACTCGAAGCCAATTTTGAGTCCTTTTTTCATAGTCAAATAGATCAGTATGTACTTTGAACACCTTCAGATTTACAAGTATTTGTATTAGCAAGTTATAAGACCAATTCGTGTGATAAAGTGATGTTTTACAAACAGTTCCATCCCTCTCATCCTGTTGATGTTCAGTTTGCTGCACTGAGGTATGCACTTGGACCAGCTTACCCATTTCCAGAAAAAGTGATTTGTCAAGCAAAAAATATTTTTGAAATGTTTTGGATCTTTTAAATAATTTATTTCATATTATGAAAGAATCAATACAGTTTGACTTTGTATTAGAATACAGAATGATAGGCGAAGAATCTATGACGGTTTCACTTGACAATGATAACGAAGAGGTGACAGCATGGTTTAAGCACTATGCAAAATTTCATCAATTCTCCAGATGAACATAATGGCCTCTGAACTTGGGGATTATTCATGGCTGCCACAAAGCTGATAGTTTCAGAAGTCTTTGAATGTTTCTGTAACAACATTGTTCTTGCAGTGTCTATGGTAACAAAGTTGGTGTATCGAATGCATCATGAAATGTGTCAAGGTCTTTGTCATCGGTGAGGGATTGTCGGTCTGATGTTTTGGCTGGGTTCCGCACTGCGGTGTACTTTTTCTTGGATTGTAAAGACAACTTGCCCAACTCAGTCATGATCATCGCCTCCATGATGCCATTGTCTGACTTGTCCTTGCCATGTCGGGTGCCAACATGAACCGCTTCTGCTTCTCCTTGTGGTGATCACGCACCTTCATCAGAAGACAGATTAAAGGACCCATGACCAACCAGAACCCGACCATTGTTCCAACCACTATTCCAAATGTGGCACTAGCTGACATTCCTCCAAAATCTGCTAAGTTCTTTTTCTGTGTGATTGTTTTGACATCAGTTATCTTAGCATTTGTTCCCATTGTCCCATTGGCACCAGCTGAAGCTAATCCTGTAATCTTAGCATCCTTGAACTTGCTAGCACCATTCATGGCAGGGGTGGGCTCAATCTCCTGAGCTGGGTTGTCTTTCTTAGGTCTGTATTGATAGCCATAGTTATAATAGGGGTCATACACATCAGAGGCCATACTGGACATGTTGTGCACTTTGTAAGGGCGGAGTTCTGATCCACTTGGCTGTAGTCCCTCGTCAGCCTCATACTCGGCACCTTCTCTACCATACATACTGATGTTGGTCGATGCTGACATCAGATGTTCGTCAGCTTCATACTCTTCCTGTTCCTCTTGTTCTCCAGCCTCCTCAGCCTCCTCTGCCTCCTCGGCAGGCTCGGTGTAGTTCATGATGTCGGGGTACATGGACATGTTTTCAGGCAACACTGAGTTCATGTAACCATAGCGTAGACGGAGCATATCTAGTTTTTCCTCTAACTCATCATCTCGCTGTTCGGCTGGACTTTCGTACTCAGTGCCTCGTTGGTCTATTGTCAGTGATGGGATGATTTCACCGTAGTACCCCAACTGTTGGTCCACTGGTCCGTTCTGCATTTTTGCTTCTGGAACATAAGATTGGAAGGTTAAAGTTGTGATGCAGCAGCTATTAATCTTTGTTGTCATTTTGTTGAATTCGTAACAATTATAAAAAACTGTCTGAATGTTTTATTTATAGTAAACCCTGCAGGAAATCTGCCCTTAGTTAATGTTATGAGAAATAGCTAATCAAGGGATGATGTAATCAATAATTCTTATATGTAATCTAAGTTTTAGTAATGTCAACCAATCCTGAGAATACCTTAACTCTTTTAAGTGTGTTTGAACTATGGGTCAAGTGCCTTTCTCTAATGTTGGATATGAATGTGTCATTAGGTATTCAGTCTCACTGTTGAACAGTTTGGCCAAGAAACATAGTATTTGTTGTGGAAGATAACACAAGATTAAAATAATTCCAATCATGGCCTGTGTTACTCTGTAGGCCTGACATGTAAGTGGTTTTGACTTCAATATTCTAGCATACAGTTGCCTGCCTGGAGACTAGGTGTGAAGACTTGTGGCCAAGTGTTCCTGTTTGATGATGACACCTGGTAAACTGCCTGTAATCCCTGTCCCAATACAGTTAGAGTCAGTTGGATGAAGGAGGCAGGGGAAGGAAGCACTGACAGGTGCCCCTTGTGTGTGATCAGCATGGTGTGAACGACACACACATCAACACTCGGACACCCAAAGTTAACTCATAACTCATTACAAAGCAAAGTAGATGAACATATTCAATGTCAACAGTTTCATGGCTTTAGTGTATGCATGCAATATTTACAGTTTCACGGCTTCAGTGAATTGCAAGCAATATTTACATGTTTTGGTTTCCGTGAATGCAAGCAATATATACAGTTTCATGGCTTCAATGAATGAAGGCAATGTGAGCCGTGAGTTTCATGCTTCAGCTCAGAAACGGTGTTGGTAAAAGGAGAAGATTGTAGATGGTCTATTGTATCCTATGCAGAACAAATCTGACTGGGTATTGCTGTGAACATGAGCCAGCTTTACAAGTGACAGTTATTTGTGATTCAGTAGCAGTGAATGCTGTCAAAAATACAGTAGTGAGTGTTTTAAACAATAATCATAACATATCAAAGGAAGAGGTCACTTTCTGTACATTCATGAGTTTTTCCCTCTTAATTATCTGTTGAATAGGTCAACTTTTCATTTACTATATTTTGCTAGTATTATGGAAAGGATAACTTTCCTGAATAAGACATCTTGCTGACAGTTTTCATATGACAAAGTAACCCTTAACTAATTAAGCTTCTGGGTTGTGATACGAGGACATGACGGTGGTTATATTTACCAGGAAGTAAGGGCAGTGGGTCTGTTCCCTGTTGAGGTGAGCGGACAGGACGTGGATGGCCATTTGTCTTCTTCTGCTCCTCCCGTCTCATGTTGGACATAATCCTGGGGTTGTGTTTCCTTGTAACATCTCCTCCCTGTAGAAGGGCATTGTGGGATGGGACATCTCCGCCTTGTGATGTTTTCCTTGTTCCTGATGCAGAAGTTGCTGGAACACCTGACATGCTGGGTACAATGACCAATTGTTCAGGGTTATCCTTTGAATCTTTGGTCATCCTTGAAGTCATTCCTATATTGACACCACCTGTAGCTGCTGAATGACATGGAACCAGGAATACCAGGCACACTGTCACACACACATGAAACATGCTTAACACCAGGTGTCGATTCATAGTGGTTCACAATCTGCTTTAGTACATCCAACAGGTTGGTCCTTATTATTGGAATAAACGTACAGAATCTGTTCCTCTATTTCTATAACCTTTGTTATGTATGAGGAGAATGTTCTGTGACTAGTGTCCAAACCAACCACACAAAACAGTAGTCTCTCCACCAGTGCACAAGATACCAATGGTTGTTGATCCAGACAGCAACCCTTTATGAACTGTAAGTCGTTAAGCCAGCTCGTACACTTCGATGCATAAATCTGTCACTGTCGGTGCACCAACGAGATCATTAGCGATACAACTTCAAGACAATGTGGAAATCACCATCGTCCTCACCTGCTGAGTCAAACGCTTATTGACATCTGTGACAATGCAGTTTATCGTGTGGTGTTTCTGGCCACTGACACGCATGGCGGTGATGTATGCTGTAATGAGTAGCCTGTGATTGGCACCTCCCATGCACACGTCATCTCATCTTGGAGGTGCCTCAGGGTACTGGAACAAGCATCAGTCTTTCTTAAACTGTCAATGTCTTGTAAGAACATATTACCTTCATCATGATTATGGGTCAGCCAGTAGGATGATGTGTATTTAATTGTCTCAGTCAGCTGGATGTACAGAACACACATCTGAAACCGAAACATTGCCAGTTAAGTTTTAACTGAAAAGATCAAATGGATGTTTTTGCCCCACCTAACACTCAGAATGTGTGCCTGTGTTTTGAATGATGACAGTTATGGTTGTTTCACACAAAAATTGTTTGATCGATCTGAAAAGAGATTCAATTATACGTTTGTACTGACATGACACTGAGGGAAACGAACCCTCTTTGTACTGATATAATATCAGTATATTGTTGCAGTTTATGCTAGACATTTGATATTTCTTAGTTTGGAGGAGAAAGATGTATCAGAATCATTTCTATTGATATTTATATTAAATAGTCTTTCTGATTTCATATATCTTACAGTTTCAAATGCTAAAAGTGTGTATATTTATTAACGCTATTGAAATTTGCATTCGACAGAATACATTATAAACAAATCATGATAGTAATTTTGACCAAAATATACAGTGGAAGGACAGAACCAACAACAGTTTGTCATATCTGTCAATTCATTTTAGGTGTGTATATGTATTGAGAAGTGAACTTCTATTTCTGGATATATTTTCTCTGCTTTTGTTACTTTCAAATAGACATTGTGTTGTTGGTACTCTAGTAACCTAGTAATATATTTTAGTTGAACAGAAATGGATATTTTACTCATTGTTTTTGAATACCAAAGGTCAATAAAGTTATTAAACTAAAGAAGACAATTTATTAACTTTCCTATGAGTTATGAGTATGTACTATGAAAATAAGTCATGTGAATGAATAAAATATTAATAAAGCATGCAAAGGGTTGTGAAGACAGATGACACAAGTGTCATAACTGATGATAGATGGGGATGGTGAGACAATGCTGGCTCCCAGTGTCCATACTCATGACTCCTCGGGGTGCACCAGGCGATTGTGATTGAGTGACTGACAGATATGACTGCTCTGCCAAAGTCTCTACCCCCGGGGCTCCTTACAAGGCAACAAATGTGTGTTAATGAGGATGTTCTAACTGACTGGTCAACACATTTCTTTTGTTCTTCATTGACTGCTTTATATGCTGGAGTGTCTTAAATAGGCTTGGCAATATAGGTATCATTTCCTGGAGTGGATGGTGGATTAAACACCAGTCAGTTACCTCTATTAGAACAACCAAAAGAATGGAAAATAAAATCAGTGTTGATTTAGTTTTATGAAAGAAGGATGTGGTGATATTTTTTTAATAGTTTGGTGATGTTTACAAGAAGCACATGAAGTAGTGAGGTAGTCAAGTGGTGAGGCATTTACTTGCTTCTGTGGTGGGGAGGGAGTGAGTGATTTGGGTTTTATGCTGCTTGTAGCATTATTCCAGCAATATCATAGCAGGGGACACCAGAAATAGGCTTTACACATTGTACCCACTAGGCTTACCCATCTCCCCTTAAGGCCTGTGAGGATTCATTTCCTCATGTGTACAATCTGTGAAGCACTTTTCTGTACCCACCATGGTATTGATGGGATATTGCTAAAAGTGTTTTCACACACACACTCACTCACTCATCCTTGGTTTCTGGGGCTCCTACCTGTAGCGCATGTCATGTCGCACTTAGCACGTGACTTCGTTTGACATATGTCTCTGTTCACCCAGCAATGAGTGAGTGAGTTTTGTTTTACGCCACACTTAGCAATATTCCAGCTATATGGTGGCGGTCTGTAAATAATCAAGTCTGAACCAGACAATCCAGTGATCAACATCATAAGCATCAACCTACGCAATTGAGACCGATGAAATGTGTCAACCAAATCAGTTAGCCTGACCACCCGATCCCATTAGTCGCCTCTTACAACAAGCATGGGTTACTGAAGACCAATTCTATCCCGGATCTTCACAGGTACCCAGCAATGAGTGGAAACCTTGTAGGATGAGGTGGAATGACTGTTAATCTCCTAGCACCACAGAATCAACTTGGGTTGTATACTTCCCAAGAAGCTGAGAATGATCCATTGATAAACACCTTTGAGTGTGGATTTGGCACAGTATATATGTATATACCTGCACAATAATAAATATCCCTGTTGGAACCCATACCCAGAGGTAGACAATGTTGCATTGTAATATCCTGTGAAGTTGTTGCAGCACTTACAATGGCTATCCACACATTTAATGTGAGGCTACAGACAAATGACATTAGGACATTTTTGTGATTTTTTTCATCACTTATGTACGTCAATACAAAACTATAACACTTGAGACATCTGGAATGACAGACAATTGATGTGGTAGTAAAGGAACCCATCTGAAACCCAATGTGAGGTTGCTCTGTGGGCAATGTAGACTAACAACCAGTCTCTATTATGAACATATTTTACATCTGGAAATCTAGGCTTAGATTCTAGAAATATTCTAGACTTGCATGGGATTTCTTGGTTATATTTGTTTCAGGGTCTGCATCACAGACTATAGTGAATGCTCAGCATGCATCAGTTTTAGGTCAGTTGAATACTTCTTGGGCACTAAACAATCTTCAGCATATTTGGCCAACTACAATCACAGTATATTCTTACATCCAGTTATATAGGAGAAAGACTCCTTTAGAGATACAGCTGTATACATGAATATACTAGTGTTAATCTGTTATCCAACCGATATAGCAGTGTTCCAGTAATGAATGAGAAACAATGTTACAACTTACAGTTCATACAGTCTCTGAAGAACTTGAACATGCACTTAATGCATAATGCATGGATATAAATCTGTTTTATCAAACCACAGGTATTTCATAATGAATGAGAAACAATGTTACAACTTACAGTTCATACAGTCTCTGAAGAACATGCACTTAATGCATAATGCATGGATATAAATCTGTTTTATCAAACCACAGGTATTTCATAATGAATGAGAAACAATGTTACAGCTTACAATTCATACAGTCTCTGAAGAACTTGAACATGCACTTAATGCATGATATATGGATATAAATCTGTTTAATCAAACCACAGTTATTCAATAATGAATCATAAACAATGTTGCAACTTACTTGAGGGTAGGCAATATTGCCTGATATCTTGGAAGGCCTCGCTGAGTATTGAGTCCGACTTGGCTATTTGGTGGAAGCTTCCTTATCTTGCCGGTGCCAGACTTCTGTGAGTCATTCTCCCAGACATTGGCTTCTGTGTGGAATCAGCAGCCATGATGGCGGGGGAATCCCCACTGGAGCAGCACTCCCAGAGCCCCTGAAGTCACACGATATTACCAAGCAGATAGAGCGATCTAAATACTTTCTGTATCAGGTGACATTGCCACTGATGCTTAGCACATTTTGTTGACAAGGTTTACATATATTGTTATAAAGTAAGATGTGTGAAAAATGTGTCATTTGCTTAGGAAGCAAAAACAGTTCAGTCGTCAAAACAGAGCTATGAAGTTTATAGTTTCTTCTAACTGAGGCATTGTCCTAAGTGACAGAAACATAAGAACTTACCATTTTGCGTGATGTAATTTATTTTGATTATTGCTTGATTATTACAACATGACAAGCTTCATATTACTTTTCCATGGCATGTTTCTTCCATATACAAGTGAAGTAGAATTGAAGATTGAAACTGAAGGCTACACTGACAAGTGGTTGATGTTGGAAGTGAGACTGTATGCACCGTTAGCCTGTTATACCCCACCCATAGACCCTCGGTCTGAGGAGTCTCACCAGTACATGCCAGTCTTCCCAGGGGGAGGGGGCTACATGTGGGAGTATGCTGAGTAAAGGGGGTTACCTCCAGGAAGGGGCTAGTAATGGGAGGGTGATGTTTCAGACATATTTGTTTCGACAATTAGCTGTTGTCTTTCACCTGTGTGGACAAAGTAGTTTGTGACATTTCTTTACAAAAGGTGAGCAAATAGCCCTGAAAAGTTCAGTGTTGAATGCTAAATGTTGAGTGAGGAGAGTGATCAAATTGAACATGAATGAAACTGTAGACATGGATGTAGCACTGCTATGGGGTTAGATTTGATAAAGGTTTTAATTGAAAAGGATTACTTTGGGGATCATTCATCAGTGGAATAAATGGCGACATCTTTTTAATTCAGTACAAAGGAATCATGACAACGATATTTTAAAATGTGTAAGTGTTGGAACATGTAGACAGGTTCACACATTCTACCTGTTAAAGCTACACCTTTTGGAAATATTGCTTTCCAGCCACTTACATAGGTTTAAATTTCACTCATTTGTTCGTAAACACTCTTTTATATCTCAAAGTGACTTATCAGTTGTGTCCAGGCAGAATTATCTTGCTGCTTCCTGGTGTTTGCTGACTTGGTTGATTCCATGTCATGTCATCTCAGTTCCTTACATGAGTGCTTGTGTTGGTCACTGGATTGTCTGGTCCAAACTCGGTCATTTACAGACTACCATCATGTAGTTTGAACATTGCTAAGTGTGGCATCTAACAATAAATAGTCAAACAAACAAATACTGCTTCACTTGGAATCAAGATTCAGTGAGTTTGAACTGTTTGGCCTGTCTGACAATAACACTTGTGTTTCCAGGTGTCGGGGGAGAAAGTCAGCAAGTTATCCCTGGTGGATCTGGCAGGGAGCGAGCGAGCCCAGAAGACCGGGGCAGTTGGGGAGCGGCTCAAGGAGGGCAGCAACATCAACAAGTAAGTCCACTGGGGATACAGGGTTGGACTGGACACAGGTGTCAGATTGGATGTCGGTGTTGGGATAAGGATTGGTATAGGTGTCAACTGAACACAGGTGTCAGACTGGATGTCGGTGTTGGAAAAAGGATTTATATAGGTGTCATCTGGACACAGGTGTCAGATTGGATGTTGGTGTTGGGATAAGGATTGATATAGGTATCAACTGGACACAGGTGTCAGACTGGATGTTGGTGTTGGGAAAAGGATTTATATAGGTGTCATCTGGACACAGGTGTCAGATTGGATGTTGGTGTTGGGATAAGGATTGATATAGGTGTCATCTGGACACATGTGTCAGATTGGGTGTTGGGATAAGGATTGATATAGGTGTCAACTGGACACAAGTGTCAGATTGGATGTGGTGTTGGAATAAGGATTGATATAGATGTCAACTGGACACAGGTGTCGGATTGGATGTCAGTGTGGGGATAAAGACTGATATAGGTGTCAACTGGACACAGGTGTTGATAAGGACTGATGTAGGTGTGAGACTGGATGTTGGACAAGGGCAGATGGAGGTGTCCGCTGAGGACTTGTGCCCAAACTGCTGTTAAGACCGGATGCAACCATTAGTCAACCGACTGTAAGTGTCTGCAGTGATGAGCTTAGGTGTCTGTACAAGGACTGTTTCTTATTGATGGACTGTAGAAGGTGTTATAAACCTTGACATGTCGGTAACTGTAATTAAAAGACCATTTATGGGTATTATGTCACTGTAGTGGTTTCTTGTAACAGGAACTGTTTGAAGCTCTCATATAATACTGTTCTTGTCTGTATCAGTAGTCCTTACAGGCATTGTGGCAAGTTTCATTATCAGTTGATCAATATCACCTTGCAGTAGAGAACTGTGTCATACGAGGAGGACATATGGCCACTCTTGTTCTTTAAAAACTATCATGTAATACAAAGTAATGTTTTAGATTTGTGATAACAATTTCTGTATAAAAATCATATCTGCCAATTTAAACAGCCTAAGTAGTCTGATGAACAGGGGGAATATCTAGACTAACACATAGTCTCTGAATATGCATACTTGTGTTAGACAAATAGTTCCTTTTAAATCAAAAAGAGACCCAGTGAAATGGGAAATTCAGAACCTGGGGAAGTCACAAAAATAAAAGCTTGAAAAAAAATTATCTTTAAAGAAATAAGACCAACCACAAACTAATGTCCACGTCAGTCCTTGTACATGACTCTTGCCTGCGGAGGTTTGCCCTGATGTGGCTGGTGGCACTGTTGTCTAAGGCTGTATTGATGTTCCTTCCAGGTCACTGACCACTCTCGGCCTCGTCATCTCCGCGCTAGCAGACTCTGCAGCTGGGAAAAACAAGAACAAGTTCGTCCCATACCGGGACTCTGTCCTAACATGGCTTCTCAAGGTAAGGATAGCCAAGAGATGATAATGTGATGCTAAACATACAGGGCTACAGATAAGGGGTGTACAGGCATAATGTACGCCTCAAAATCAATTAAGTACGACATAATATAAGATTTCAAGCGTATCGTATACGCACATAAATACCTTTGTATGTCTAACATTTAATTTCCATGCGTATCGTGCAAATGGAAATCTATTTCGGATAAATACTTGTCAAGTTTCTTTTGCGAAACACGATTTGACACATGAGGAAACCCCGACAGTAGGAATCCCTTGCGTTGCCATGCAACGATATGCGTCACTATTTTTCGATTGGCTAAAAACTACACTGTTCCTATTTATATCCAGTCGGACCTGACATTTCGCGCATCACACGGTCGCTCAGTTATTTCTCATGCGTCTTCAAATACAAATACATGGTTGGAAATAGTGATCGATGAATCGTCCAGACAAACCACATCACCAATTCGCTCACACAAAAACATGTCGGTACTCCTTCAAAATTCTCAGTACACCTCCACTTGCAATATGATGTGTAAGTACACTCACACCCCCAAAAGTTATCTGGAGCCCTGACATAGTCGTTACAGAACAAGAGGACATATTTTACAGTATTTTTCAGTGGTCCACTTGACCAGTTAGTATCAACTTAATATCACATTAATCTGAACAAGTTCTTCCATGACTGACGTGACCAAATATTTTTGAAATTAATATGAGCCAGTACTTTTTATAATGAAGGGTCAAGTTGCTTCTGCTTCTGGAGTCAACAGATTTACGTAATTTCTCTGACCCAGTTATAACTATGTATGATTTTTCTAACATTTTTCATGATGACCTACAGCTGCATCAGTTCAGCTTAAAGTGCATGTTTGCAATGTTTTGACAGGTGCTTTAAGATCTCCTGTATCATGATTACACTGAACAATGACAACAGGAAACAGTTTGTCAAAAATATTCTTAAAAGAGTGACATGACAGAATTAGTGGCCTAGATACAGGGTCTTAACGCGAGGTCACATGGCACACCTGGCTGTAAAGGCAGCGAATGGTCCATTGCTCACACTGCGAACATCAGGATGCAGAAAAACAGCCCTGACAGATTAGTTTTATTTTCTCTATTATAAACACTGCTATGATGACAGCAATGAACGTTATTTCGCTAACTTAAGACTGGAAATTCAAAGAATGACTTCATTAGGGTTGTTATGTCCATTGGTTGGTTGGTTGGTTGTTTAACGCCGCACTCAGCAATATTTCAGCTGTATGATAGTTGTTATGGCCAGAACTTACATTAAACGTCAATTATTATACTAAGATGAACCATTCTCTCTCTCTCTCTCTCTCTCTCTCTCTCTCTCTCTCTCTCTCTCTCTCTCTCTCTCTCTCTCTCTCTCTCTCTCTCTCTCTCTCTCTCTCTCTCTCTCTCTCTCTCTCTCTCTCTCTCTCTCATTACACTGCATAAGTAACATTATTCAGTTTCCTTATGAATACGAGGCTCATGATCAATCAATGCAGATTGTCAGTGTGTACTTCAGTTAAAGCACTCAATCTGACATCCAGACAATAAAATGACAAGGCTCCAAGTGTAAGGGAGACAACTCTGTTTACCCTACCATTATTGTTGATTAAAATCCTTTTTAAGAGTCACCTCTTTCCCCCATAGGCAATTTATTAGGCAGCAGGCATCTGTTTGAGGATTCTGTGCAGGGATTCAGACAAATTTTGTTAAAGATGAGAACGTTAATCTAAATAATGATAGGCCTATAAAAGAGTGTCCATTGAGACGTTGTTGATTTGATTCCAAGGCTGTCTAGACTCTATCAAGATGAGTGACAATCAGATTCTGTGTTTCTCCCACAAATGGTGGAAGGTAGATACACTGAGTCGATACTGTCCATGGAGGAGGTATTATGTTGAGAGAAACTCCTGCAGATCTCTTTATATATACACCATCTTGTCCGACAGAGAGAGGAGATTTGGGACTTTAGAGAATGAGTTTAATTTTCAACATCTTAGACATGTCAGTAAACACTGAGTGTTTCCTCGGGTATAGGTGTTGAATTCGAAGAATACGTTTCTGGCAGATGCAAAATGCCATCACAAAAGTGAGCATAAGAATCACAGACAACCGTTTCAATTAACACCAAGAGTTTCTAATTTAGAGCGAATCGGGGGATATAGTATTAGGCTCCGTCCTTATGTACAAATTCGAATATCTTAAGAACCATTCACTAGATTCTTTTCATATTTGGTACCTAGGTTCTTCACACTATAAGAAAGGTCCAAGTCAGGTTTGGTGACCTTGACCTTCATTTCAAGGTCACAAGGGGACTTTCACGTTTTACCTGCATGTTAAGCTCTCACAAGAACTGTTCACTGGATTTTCTTCATATTCAACCCCAAGCTTTATCCAGGGAAGGCGCAGGGCCCATTCAATTTTGGTGACCTTCACTTAATTTTCAAGGTCACAGCGACACTTTGAAGATTTCAGCATATCAACCTACATGTTATGCTTGTCACCGAGATACCTCAAGGACCATTCACTGGAATTTCTTCATATTTGACACCAAGCTTCATCCAGAAATGTTAACCTGAATTGTCAGCAAGATATTTTAAGAACGGTTCACCAGATTTTCTTCATAGACTTTCAAGACCTCCCTTGAATGTTTTTCAATAAGCAATTTCTTTAGTACTAGTTTTGCATATTTCATACACTATGACATTCATGTCAAGGTCAAAGTCAGTCTTGAAAATATGTGTGTGTTTGAACAGCTAAAGAGCAAGATAATGTTTTTGTTGACATTTAACTTCTTCTTAAACTTTCATTACTTTATAAGTTTGATTTGATAATTTGCGGCGGGGGATTATGTCACCTTAGTGACAATGCTTGTTGTCATTGCATTGCAGACAGGAAAGGCAAAAACAAATTCTAAAATGTGCTTCTGGATATATGATCTGTGAAGTCAAGCTCACATTCTCATTTTTATAGAACTGATGTATATTAAATAACTGATGATATATTCCTTTTTATGAACCTTTTTTAAATCGAAAATAAAAGAGAATTGTGACACTTACAAACTGTGATCTCATCAATTTCAGCACGGGACTGTATGTAATTATCTGCTCTTGGCAAAGGTAGTCAATGTGTTTCTTAAAAGATTTAAGTGTTTTATACGTTAATCAGTTTGCAGGAGTGCACAGTTCTTTACAACAGCTTAGTAGCAAAACACTGTCAGCCTAAACCAGTTGGTAGCAATACACTGTCAGTCTAAACCAGTTGGTAGCCATACACTGTCAGTCTAAACCAGTTGGTGGCAATACACTGTCAGTCTAAACCAGTTGGTAGCAATACACTGTCAGTCTAAACCAGTTGGTTGCAATACACTGTCAGTCTAAACCAGTTGGTGGCAATACACTGTCAGTCTAAACCAGTTGGTGGCAATACACTGTCAGTCTAAACCAGTTGGTAGCAATACACTGTCAGTCTAAACCAGTTGGTAGCCATACACTGTCAGTCTAAACCAGTTGGTAGCAATACACTGTCAGTCTAAACCAGTTGGTAGCCATACACTGTCAGTCTAAACCAGTTGGTGGCAATACACTGTCAGTGGTAAACCAGTTGGTAGCATACACTGTCAGTCTAAACCACTGTCAGTCTAAAACCAGTTGGTGGCAAACCAGTTGGTGGCAATACACTGTCAGTCTAAACCAGTTGGTAGCAATACACTGTCAGTCTAAACCAGTTGGTGGCAATACACTGTCAGTCTAAACCAGTTGGTAGCAATACACTGTCAGTCTAAACCAGTTGGTAGCAATACACTGTCAGTCTAATGGTCAATTATTGTAATAAGGCTACGAATGAGTTTTATTTTGTATTTTCAGGACAACCTGGGCGGCAACTCCAAGACTGTAATGGTGGCAACCATCAGTCCAGCTGGCGACAACTACGAAGAAACATTGTCCACGCTGCGCTATGCAGACCGAGCCAAGAGGATTGTCAACCATGCTGTCATTAATGAGGATCCAAATGCACGAATAATCCGAGAACTTCGTGAGGAGGTTGAGACCTTAGTGAAGCAGCTCAATGAAGCACAGGTGAGTCCATGTGTATAGGAGGCAATCCACCTAGAGGCACAGGTGAGTTATTTATTAGGAGAGATAATCCACTATGAGGCATGGATGAGTTGATACATAAATGTGATGCACCTATGACAAGGAACAGGTGAGTTGATACATAGGGGGTACAATTCACAATTCATGGATGAGTTTATGTATTTGGGAAGATAATGCACCATCAGGCACAGTTGAGATGAAACATTAAGGTTACACAAAACCAAATATTTTAACATTGGCTTCTATAGCAATTAGGTATGAGTCAGGATAAGTATAAAATATCAATTTGAATCTAAAAATTACATGTTTATATTGTAGAGTCACAGACGAATTTTTGTAAAGGGGAGATAATCCACAATGAGTCATGGGTATGCTAAGTGTGTCGGGTAGATAGATAATCCAGAAAGGTGCTTGGTTGAGTTCCTTGTTTGTAGAGCAGATGATCTTCAGTGATAATCTGCAATGAAGCGTGGACGTGTAGATTTATGCTTGTTGAGGAACATGTGTATGCAGAAGATGCACACAAAAGTAAAATATGGCTTGGATGAGGAAATGCTTAAGTCATGCAATGGAGTGAGATAGGCATGGATGAAATATTGTTCAATGAAGAACTTGTGAAATAATCCATGATGCATAATTAATACAAGTCAAGGCACATGCAGAATGAGGTTCCTGGAATACTGGATGCACATGGAATCACAGGTGAGACAATTAAAGCACAATTAAGAATTCATGCACAGGTGTGTTGATGTGTAACGAAGAAGATTCACCTGCTGTTTGATGGATGGTATGATTAAAGATGCATTGAAAACTTTATTGTGAATTGAGACTCAGGTTATGTCAACACCTCCATGAAATGTGGAATGTCACTCTGGCAACCACTTGGTGCTAAGATATTCCTCACTCACTCACTCATTCTTCACTTTACCAAGCTATACTGACACAGGAGCTGGGTTAACATAGTGAAACATTGAGGCTGATTTATGTTATTTCAGCATATTAAAGACAGGAAAGGCTTACCTGAGTCCTCCTGGGAACTTGTGTGGGTAAATGAAGGTAGATCAATATATGTAGACTATATGTCACTCTCACAGTCAAAACAGGCTGTTTATATGTTACAACTATATTCTATTGATATTTGTAGAACATGCGAGCTCCGGACCTGAAGGATCGTCTGGAGGAATCAGAGAAGTTGATGAAGGAGATGAGCAAAACATGGGAGGAGAAGCTGGCTGAAACGGAACGTATACACCAGGTGGGTAGATTCAGGTTATGTATACACCAGGTTGGTAGATACGGGTTATGTATACACCAGGTGGGTAGATAAAGGTTATGTATACACCAGGTGGGTAGATAAAGGTTATGTATACACCAGGTGGGTAGATAAAGGTTATGTATACACCAGGTTGGTAGATTCATGTATACACCAGGTGGGTAGATACAGGTTATGTATACACCAGGTGGGTAGATACAGGTTATGTATACACCAGGTGGGTAGATTCAGGTTATGTATACACCAGGTGGGTAGATTCAGGTTATGTATACACCAGGTTGGTAGATACGGGTTATGTATACACCAGGTGGGTAGATAAAGGTTATGTATACATCAGGTTGGTAGATTCAGGTTATGTATACACCAGGTGGGTAGATACAGGTTATGTATACACCAGGTGGGTAGATACGGGTTATGTATACACCAGGTGGGTAGATTCGGGTTATGTATACACCCAGGTGGGTAGATTCAGGTTATGTATGCACCAAATGGGTAGATACAGGTTATGTATACACCAGGTGGGTAGATACGGGTTATGTATACATCAAGTGGGTAGATAATGGTTATGTATACACCAGGTGGGTAGATACGGGTTATGTATACACCAGGTGGGTAGATACAGGTTATGTATACACCAAGTGGGTAGATAAAGGTTATGTATACACCAAGTTGGTAGATACAGGTTATGTATACACCAGGTGGGTAGATACGGGTTATGTATACACCAAGTGGGTAGATACAGGTTATGTATACACCAAGTGGGTAGATAAAGGTTATGTATACACCAAGTGGGTAGATACGGGTTATGTATACACCAGGTGGGTAGATACAGGTTATGTATACACCAAGTGGGTAGATAAAGGTTATGTATACACCAGGTGGGTAGATACAGCTTATGCATACACCAGGTTGGTAGATACGGGTTAAGTCTACACCAAGTGGGTAGATAAAGGTTATGTATACACCAGGTGGGTAGATACAGGTTATGTATACACCAGGTTGGTAGATACAGGTTATGTAGACACCAGGTGGGTAGATACAGGTTATGTAGACACCAGGGTGGTAGATAAAGGTTATGTAGACACCAGGTGGGTAGATAAAGGTTATGTAGACACCAGGTGGGTAGATAAAGGTTATGTATACACCTGGTGGGTAGATACAGGTTATGTATACACCTGGTGGGTATATACAGGTTATGTATACACCAGGTGGGTAGATACAGGTTATGTATACACCAGGTGGGTAGATACGGTTATGTATACACCAGGTGGGTAGATACGGGTTATGTATACACCAGGTGGGTAGATACGGGTTATGTATACACCAGGTGGGTAGATACAGGTTATGTATACACCAGGTGGGTAGATACAGGTTATGTATACACCTGGTGGGTAGATACCATACACCTGGTGGGTATATACAGGTTAACATACACCAGGTGGGTAGATACAGGTTATGTAGTTGATAGCGTGTTATGCACCAGGTGGGTAGATCAGGTGGGTATATGTATACACCAGGTGGGTAGATACAGTCATGGTGGACATACACACTAGTTGAGCAGATACAGGTCATGTAGACACCAGGTGTTGAGATACAGAATATACACTTTGGATACAGAACATACACTTCGGACACAGTCATTGGGCAGGTACAGATCATATACTTCAGGGTTGTAAGTACAGAGAATGTTCAGAGGTTGGTTTGCTAGAAATTGGTGGTAAGCATTACAATACGGCCATTTCTGCTCTTCAGGAACGCCACAAGGCTCTGGAACAAATGGGCATCTCTGTGGAGACGTCTGGCATCAAGGTGGAACATGAAGGGGCGTTCCTTGTCAACCTTAATGCTGACCCGTCCCTCAATGAGCTGCTTGTCTACTATCTCAAGGTAGGCACATTCTACATCCATTCTTTGATTGATGTCACTCTGTCGATTTCCTTCAGAATGTACACTAAAAATATAAGCTTATATTCCTTGTACATGATCAAATAATGAATTGCTTATTATCACAAAAAAAAGTTCATTTCAGCATCAAGGTTGATTCAGATTGTTTGTGTTGTCTGAAAGTGTAGAAACATCTGTAGATCATGTTTGTGTCATCTAGAGAACAATGTTGAATTTTGTCTCCTTGATAAAAGTGCAGGATTAGACTCCAGATTTTGTAATGTGCTCAGCAGGGAGGCAGATTCCAGGCACTGATGTAAACAGGTTTGTCATCACAAGGAACTCAGGATGGTGCAGGTTTAGTGTTGTCCCACAGGCCCTCGTGTCTTTGCGAGGATTAAGGATTTTTTAAAAATATATAAAAATTTGAGATGACCCCCGACCACACCCCCATTGTGTGCGTATATATCAGCATCCATTTGTGTCAAGATCGTTTAGTTGAGAGTCAAAATCGGGTTTCTATTGATTTCCAGAGATAACAATAAAGAATTGGTAGGTGTCATGAATGGTGCTCGATAGGCCAATCATCCATGATTATGTTTACGTTAAGTTTTAAACGATTGCATGTGATGGTAGCGTAGCGATTGGCTAAGCAGGCGGGTGGGGTGCACCGAAGTGTCCGGCCTTGTCATAGCGTATTGTACGTAAGCTTTTTGAGTCAGTGGGTCATCTCAAAAACAATATTTTTTCATCTTTAATCCTCGCAAAGACACGAGGGCCTGTGTGTTGTCCTGATTTCTTGAAGTCATGTCTTCAACAAGTGCAAAGTGTGCCCAATGTTTGTTTATTTACACTTACAATAGATGATGATAATAGATTATTTGCACCTGCATTACTCTGAGTGATAACAGACTGTTTTAGTGGTTTGCTACAGGATCCACATGGTTTTATAACTAGTGGTTTCATGCGAGATCCTTGTGGTTTGGAACAGGATCCAATTGATCTAAATGGTTTGCAACACAGGTCAAACAGTTCGCAACAGGGTTCAAGTATTTTGCAATGGGGTTCAAGTATTTTGCAATGGGGTCCAAGTATTTTGCAATGGGGTTCAAATATTTTGCAACAGGGTCCAGGTATTTTACAACAGGGTCCAGGTGATTCAAATTATATGCAACAAGGTCCACATGAGGTACAATAGGAACCAATGGGAGCCAAGTGATCCTGTGACACTACGTGATCCAACTTGATTTAGTATGTACAGGGAACATCTTTTGCAGAGTAGTTATTTGATATTCTACCATGAATCAAGAAAATACTAGATTCTGATTGGTTGTTCAGAAAAATCAGACGGCATCAATTGTGGATTGACGCTCATCTGATTGTAAGGCCGCTTCACCGCGCATTAACAAATCTTATTGTGAGAACTACTTCCGTTTGACCACAATGATGGCGGATCATAACAACAACTCCATGCATTTTGACGCTGACTTTCGAATTTTACACATAGGCAATTGGAAATTTTTGGATTAAAAATGCATTTGATTTCATTACGCTTCACTGCGCGCGATAGAACACTGCCCCACTACTTCAGCTTGACCACCAACATGACTAATATCAACACAACAGACGTGATGGAAATGCTGATGAAACATTTATTAAACTCGAAAAATACAGTTATATGATTTTTCCCTACAATTATGAGGGAACCTCACTATCATATTACCTTCTATTATAAAAAATATTCAAACTCAATTACAATACACAGCCCCAAGCATAAACAAAACAATATCTAACATATAAATCAGAAAGCCTTGTAAATATAAATCCCTATCTATACAAAATATGCAGCAAAACATTAGTAAATATTTACCTACCTGGTAAATGGTATATTTAATTCCGTTTAGAATGGGAAATTTGCAAGATAGATCTAAGGGTCTGGCTTAAACACCCCATTTATGCCACTCATAGTCATACTCCATCATATCCCGCTGCATCGCTCAAAAACAATTCTGCTCTCTGCCAGCTTCCTTGGTTGTCACTGTTATGTTCATCTACTTTGAAAACGCTTTGGACACAGTCCAGTCCCAAACGATGAAAACAAAGTTCCAAGGAATCACAAGTAAGTCGCGATGTACACTAAGCAGCAGCACTGTGACTCTTTGTCGCATGCCGGGTGGAGGCAGTACGCGAAATCATGATCGGCCGGGTCATAAAAATCAACAGTCTTTGATGAGTTACAGGTCGTAGGTTGATCAGGAAAGGATCTATTCTTCGATTCTGCAGGGTTCAGATTCAACAGTCAGTCAAGTATTGTCCATTGTCACTTCAAATTTCAACCTTTCGCAAAATGTAAACACTGGCTCGTCCGCCATTTCAAACTGTTAAGCGTAACTGTCTACTTCAAGAAAATAAGTAGGTCAGACGATTCCATTATAGTGTGGCCAGGGGGTACAGTTTCACGGCACACAAAACAATAGGCTGGTTTTGGTCGCGGTGGAGTTGGGATGGAAAAACCAAGATCTCGGTATTACATAATTGCATTGAATAAACAGTAGTTTGATTTCTTTGGACAGAATATTGTTATGTTGTAATGTTAAAAAATACTGAACGGCACCTACCGCCCCCTTCACAGACGAAGTTCAATTCGCCTCTCGTCCCATGCCGGATTACGACGTGTCTTCCGCAGAGCCGAGGAAGTTCGCTTTTAAATGGGTCATGGTAGAATGGAGATAACCCTAGTGTGTTTGAAAATCAGAGACATGCTTTATTGAATTGATGGCGACAAAATATTTCAATTGAAACCTCACGCCACGCGTTCGGTTCCAATTGAAATTTAGTCGCCATCAATTCAGTAAAGCATGTCTCTGATTTTCAAACACACTAGGTTTATCTCCTAAATAAGGCCAGATTATTTTCTTTGTTCAGCAGAGATTGTTTTCATGGAAAAGTAGTAAGCAAATGTTTTCTTCCTGTTATGATTCTAAATTGCCATACAGGTGTGAAAAAGATATTTTGCCCAGAATTTCTGTTTTTGTGGATGATGTGTTGTTCCCCTTCAGTTGTCGAGACCTCTCTGGTGGCTCCCTGCAGAGCCTTAAACACTTGTAATCCTCAAACAGCCCTGTGTTAAACAGGTTTTTGTCACCATGACGAATGGTACGTCTAACTCCAGACTAGTGTATCTCTCCATGGAGCAAGCTCTTGTCCAGGATAGACAATCATCCCTGAAGATAGGGTCATTTCAAATGTCAGGTCAACCCACCATAACATACTTTGCTGAATTTTGTACAAACAAAAATAAATGAATATCTTGTCTGTGTCATGTAATTTTTTATTTGGAGCTTTGAAATAGATTAAAGTTTGCCTTTCTCTCTAGTTTTCAAAAAATCCATTTCGAGGGATTTGTTTGCAGGATGTTAATTCAGGAAAGAATTTGTTTTCGGAAATGCATTTTCTGAGAAGAAAGAAGTTTTCCAACATTTTATTCTTTGGCAATTATTTCACGTCAAGCAATGTTTGGTTTTCAGTTTTCAAGATGCCCTGAAATAAAATACTTTTTATGCAATGATAAAAAAATGTTAGGTGTGGAAGGCATATTAAATAGTAATGTCATCAGTGACGTGTTCAATTATTCATAATGCAAACTCCTGCTTTGATGAAAGATAAGGTTCTGAAAACAAGATTCACGCCATATTAAGCAATCCAACAAGGTTTGAATGATGATCTGATTCCATCCTTGAAAGCAAATGGTTTCAACTGAATATTCCACATGATGACATTTAGCCTTGAGATATTTCCCTACAAATGTTATATTCCATAGCAGCAGCCTAGCCTTTATTTAATCCCATCCGTCAGTAATTGGATCTTCTCATGTGTTCTGTAAGCTTACATTTCACACTGGGAAATACACTGCCGTGTTCTAATAAAGTCATAATAATTAGGCGTGTGTTATCATCTGAAAATGACCAGTTTTTATTCCACTTAGGTTGTTTTATATTAAGGCACACATGTTTGGTGCTGCATCACTAGATGAAGACATCCAAGAGGACCCAATTATAGAAATGAAGCAAGACTCTGTTTTCTCTCCTTGACGGCCTTCCTGGGCTTGCGTGATGAACTTAGTCTGAGGACTTTGATCATCTCGTAATTATCAGAAGTGAAAATAAAAAAGAGAATATCATCATCTCAATCATAAAAAGAACACATGCAGGTTGAAGAAATGACTGGTGGGATATTTATAGTTTCCTTTGAATTTTACATTCTACAGGGACTAAGTTCCTGCTTCTTTTCGGCTAGTTTAAATGATTATACAAGAGATTAGCCCAATCAGATGATGAGAGGTTCAACAGGAAATGTTTTGGCATTTGATTGATTAGAAGATTGGGTAGTTGGGATATTCTAATGCATTTTCTGTGTGCTAAGATAGCAGTCGATGTGAAAAGAGTTTAACTTTTTCAAGGTGAGTTCTGGTACAAATCATGTGCTATTTAGTTTAAAGGGGCCTTGGATGTTCAGCTGGAGACGAGGGTTCTAAGTCATCAAGTTGGAAGATATTCTCGCTGTCAGAGGTCGTATTTCATGGAAATGTATTCAAGATATTATCACGTGAAGTGTTTTAACCTCGATTCAATGACAAACTTCATACAAGGATAATGAACAGACTAAAGCCTTACATGAATTATTGATCTTAATGTCCATGCTGCTCCTTGTGTAAAGTTCGTAATCACTTGAAGTAAATAATGAATATTGCAGTCGGATTTTAATTTTCTTTGCAATTCATTTTATTCAAGTTAAGGTGATCGATATCAAGGTGTCTTAATGTAAACATGATTCATAGCTGTTTTTATATACTTTAAATAGAAAGAATTTCTTCTCAAAGTAATCAATGAATTTCTTTTCTGTTATTGATATCCAATACACCTGTTATTCTTGTGGTAGTTGATTACTTCAGGTTTATCACACACAATCATCAAGCTATGAGGTTTTAAGCTGAAGTCTGTAGT